CGCTCGTCAGAGGGCCTCCGGCGTCGGTCATCGTCTCCCAGTGGACCTGGGCGGCGACGCTCCTCCAGTCGTCCAACGTCGCGTGGAACTTCGGCGTGTCCGGCCCGTTCTGGTACGCGTCCGGCGCGACGATCCAGGTGCTCCTCTTCGGCATCCTCGCGATCGAGATCAAGCGCAAGTGCCCCACGGCCCACACCATGGTCGAGATCGTCCGGTCCCGCTGGCCCGGCGCCCACTACACCTTCCTCTTCTTCGGCTTCTCCGCGAACCTCATCGTCACGTCGATGCTCATCCTCGGCGGCGCGGCGACGATCAACGCGCTCTGCGGCATGCACACCATCATCGCGTCCTTCCTCATCCCCATCTCCGTGATCCCCTACACCATGTACGGCGGCCTCAAGTCCACGTTCCTCGCGTCCTACATCCACACGTCGATCATCTTCGTCGTGCTCCTCATGATGATCTACACGATCTACGTGTCCAAGTTCTCCAGCGACCTCATCTGGGAGATGCTCAAGAAGACGACGTCCTACTCCGTGAGCGACTGCAAACACATCTTCTCCGAGGACTTCGACGGCTTCTCGTCGCCGAGCTTCAACCCGGACGCCGCCGATCCGCGCGTCCGAACCCCTCGTCGACGCGGCCTTGGCCTTCTTCGGCGGGGGCCAGATGATGCTCGGCGCGACGTTCGACTGCGTGTACGGCGAAACATACTTCGAGGTGGTCAAGGACCTCGACCAGAAGTACGTCCTCCTCGGCGGCTCCTCCGTGGACGGCCTGGTGAGCGCCGCGCTCGACGCGGACCGCGCGGCGGGCCTGAAGCGTCGGTGATGTGGCGCCTCTTCCTCACAATCGCGGTCTCCGAGGGAACGTCCGCTCGCGCGCGCGAGGCGTACGACTTCCCGGTGAAGCCCCTCTTCGACGACGAGCCCTGCCCGTCCGTCTACATCTACGACCACGCGGCCTTCTGGCCCGTGAACGCGTCGCTCGACGCCGTCGCGGCCCTGTCGGCGGACGACGTCTTCGGGCCGCGCTGCTCCGAGGCCATCCCCGAGGAGCGGCCGACGGGCCAGTACGAGATGGCGCACATCGTCGTCTGGCGCCTCACGCGGCCGCCGCGGCCCTCGCTCCACGCGTGCCGGCGGACGACGGATCCGGCGCTCGCGGACCTGTTCCTCGTGCCGACGTTCCCGGGCGGCAAGCACATTAGCGACTGGAAAAGCGCCTGCGCGGGCGAGACGGACGGGCTGGCGTCGTCGCTCACATACCTCGACGCGCGGACGGCGCACCGCCACGTCTTCCTCGTGTCCAGGGGCGCGCCCGAGGGCGCCGCGGAGGACGGCTGCGACCCCTGGTGGCGGAGGCCCGAGGGGCTCCTGCGGCGCGCGCTCCGCTTCGCCTACTCGGACGCCTACGACGCCGGCGGCCGCCCGGGCCTGCCGTTCTACGGGCCCTTCAGGCTCGACGACGACGAGGTCGCCGCGCGGCTCGCGCAGGACCCGCTCGACGACACCGCGGCGATCCCGCACCTGCACTCCGTGCCCTACCCGTCGTCGATCCACGCGTCGCGGTCCACGCGGACGCCGCCCTGGGCCGTCGGCGCGGGCGCCCACGGCGCGTCGCTCGCGTCCTTCGTCGGCGAAACGCGCGCCGCCAAACACCTCTACGCGCGGGTCCGGCCGAAGCTCATCGCGGACTGCGCGGCCGCGCCGAACGCCGCGTGTCGCGTCTACGGCCCGCACGCGGCGAACCGCCTCGGCGAGAGGGGCCCCTACGCGAAGGTGCGCGGCCGCCAGAAGTGGGGGCACTTCTGCGGCCTCGAGGAGACGTACGCGCGCGCGACCTTCTGCCTCGAGCCCGGCGGCGACTCGCCCTACCGCAAGGGCTTCTACGACGCGCTCGCGACGGGCTGCATCCCCGTCGTCTTCGGCGCCTTCAACGCGCGCGTCGCGCCCTGGTTCGTGCCGCGCGGCGTCGTCGTCGAGCTCAACGAGACGGCCTACCTCGCGGGCGACCTCGACGTCCTCGCCTTCCTCGCGGCCATGCCCGCGGACGAGGTCTCGCGGCGGCAAGAGTTGCTCGCGGCGGGCGCGGTGAAAGTGCAGTACGCGCTCGACGACGTCCCCGGCGACGCCGTCGAGACGCTCCTCCGCGGCGCGCGGCGCGCGGCGCTCGACCTCGAGCGGGCGCGCCCCACGCTCAAGACGTGGAACGGTTCGATTGCGCAGGCGCGCCCCGCCTCCTAATACTATCGGACGAGCCTGCAGCGCTCGATGTGGCTCATCCGCGGGAACTCGCGCATGAGCGCGTCGACGCCGCGGTTGTAGGCCTTGATCTGGCCCGTGCCCTCTTTGTAGCCCGTAAATATGGCATCGAAGACCTCCATCCCGGGGGGCGTGACCTCGGCGAAGACGCCGCCCTCGCCTGCCAAATGTGTCGGTCACGATTCTTCATCGTTTCCCCACCCGAAATCTCTCGAAAATCGCCACGGCCACAGGACGCCGCCCTCGCGGTCCAGGTGCTTGTTGTCCGCGAGGTTGACGAAGATCTGCGTCTTCGAGCTGCCCGCGAAGGCCGCGGTGCCGCGCCGGTTCCTCGCGTCCTCGCGGCGCTCGTCGCGGCCGACCTTGGGCCACGTCGTGCCGTTCCACGACGGGTGGAACCCGACCTGGGCGATGAAGTTCGGCACGACGCGGAAGAAGCGGAGGCCGTCGTAGAAGCCCGCGGCGACGCGCTCGCGGAACGCGGCGCACGCGAGCGGCGCCCAGTCCGCGCGGAGGACGAACGTCACGTCGCCGCGCGCGCCGCCGGGGTCGTCGGAGCCGATGCGGCAGCGCACCTCCTCGAACGCCGCGGGCGCCCGGGCGCTCGCGCGGAAGGCGCGCAGCGACTCCTCGTGCACGTGGGCGACGGCGACGGCCGCGGCGCAGGCGACGGGGAGCAGGCGCATGGCAGACGCGACGCACGCCGCCCTCGCGCAACGCGGTCCTTGCGCTGGCAGTGGCGACTGGAGTAGTGGGCACGGATCAAGGCTGAAATGGGCTGCCCATCGATGGCGGGCAAATTGATGGCAGCTTGTACTTCAGCTTGCAGTGCAATGCAAAGTTCGTGCGCGACCGACCGCACGGCAAGAGAAGAGCCGAAGCGCAATCATGGGTGTTTACATGGGAAGGTCCCCCCGGGCCGCCGCCGCGATCCGCGGTCGCCGGGGCCGGGGAGGGGTGGGGCGCGCGAGCGGGCTGCGCCGCGCCGCCTACTTGAGGGCCGCGCGGAGCTCGCCGAGGAGCGCCGCGGCCGTGTCCTTGGCGTCGCCGAGGAGCATGTCCGTGTTGTCCTTGAAGAAGGTCGGGTTCTGGACGCCCGCGTAGCCCGTCGAGCCCATGGACCGCTTGAAGGCGATGGTCTTCTTCGCGTCCCAGACTTTGAGCACGGGCATGCCCGCGATGGGCGAGTTCGGGTCGTCGAGCGCGCCGCTGTTGACCGTGTCGCTCGCGCCGATGACGACGGACACGTCCGTGGCCGCGAAGTCGTCGTTGATGTCCTCGAGCTCGTGGACGATGTCGTAGGACACGCCCGCCTCCGCGAGGAGGACGTTGAGCTGGCCGGGCATGCGCCCCGCGACGGGGTGGATGCCAAAGGCCACGGTCTTGCCCGCCTTCTCGAGCTCCTCGACGATCTCCGCGACGACGTACTGCGCCTTGGCGACGGCGAGGCCGTAGCCGGGGACGATGATGACCGACTCCGCGGCCGCGAGCGCGGCCGCGGCGCCCGCGGCGTCGACCTCCGAGTGGGCCCCGAGGTCGACCTGCTCGACGTCGCCCGTCGACGGCGCCGCGGCCTTGCCGCCGAGCACGACCTCGACGACGTCGCGATTCATCGCGTCGCACATGATTTTGGTCAGGATCGCGCCCGAGAAGCCGATGAGCGCGCCGACGGACGCCAGGGTCCCGTCCTTGAGGAGCACGCCCTCGGCGGCCAGCGCCCAGCCGCTGTAGGAGTTGAGCACCGTGATGACCACGGGCATGTCCGCGCCGCCGATGGACGACGTGAGCAGGTAGCCGAGCGCCGCCGACGTCAACCCCGCGCCCGTCAGCGCCGCCGCGCCCGCCGCCGACTGGCCCGACGCGACGGCGAAGGCGCCGAGGCCGAGCGACGCCGCGAGCAGACCGCCGTTGAGCGCGTCGTTCTTCGCGAGCGGCGACGACGACAGCGCGCCCGAGAGCTTGAGGTACGCGACGATGCTACCCGTAAAGGTCACGCCGCCGACGAGCGTCGCGGCCACCGCCGCCGCGCCCCCGCCCAGCCCGAGCTCGTCGGCGTGGGCGACGAACTCGCCCAGCGCCGTCGCGACGGCCGCGACGCCGACGAGCGAGTGGAACGCGGCGACGGTCTGCGGGAGCTCCGCGGGGCCGACGCCGCCCGCGACGACCCAGCCGCCCGCGCCGCCCGCGGCCATCAACGCGCCTAGACCCAGGATCGCGTCCGGGTCGCCGTGGGCCGCCTGGAGGGCCTTGGCGAAGGTCGCGACGATGGCCAGCGACACGCCGGCCATGCCCGCGACGGTGCCGTAGCGCGCGGTCTGCTGCGTCGCGAGGCCGCCGATGCCCGCGACGCACGCCGTCGCCGCCGCCGCGGACACGACGTCCGGCAGCACGGACGCCTCGTTCGTCGCCGCCGTCGCGAGCGTCGCCGCGGCCGCCAAACCTACCGGCGCCGCGAACAAGCCCAGCGGCGCCACGGGGTCGCCCTTGCGCTGGAAGAGCTGGAGCATCGCGTCCGTGACGCGGAAGCCGCCGACGATGTTGACCGTGGAGACGACGACGGCGAAGGCGCCGAGGAGCTCCGCGGGCGTCTGGGGCGCCAAGTGCGTCGGGTCGAGGAGCGCCGCGCCGCCTAACGCCGTCAGCCCGGAGATGGCGTTCGTCACGGCCATGAGGGGCGAGTGGAGCGCCGGCGCGACGCCCCAGACCGCCTGCTGGCCGGCGAACGACGCGAGGCAGAACGCCGCGAAGAGGCCCGCGTTGCCCGCGTCGCCGCCCGACGCCAAACCCACGGCGACGGTCGCGAGCGCCGCGACGGCCGCGACGGTGGCGTCTCCCTGCACTCGCGCGTCCAGCGCCTCCTGCGGGTCGACCTCGACGACCTCGGCGACGACGGGCGCGGGCGGCGGCGGCGGCGGCGCGTAGGGCGGCGCGGGCCACGCGAGCGCGCCGTCTTCGACGACGAGCATGCCGCGCACGGCGGGATCCTCGCGGTCGATGGCGAAGACGCCGTCGACTTTTGTGGTCGTCGGGCCGACGGAGAGGAGGAAGTTGGCCTGGTTCTTGCCGAACAAGTTCGACGCCGCGGTGGGGAGCCGCGACGGCAGGTCCGAGTACCCGAGGATCGTCACGCCGTTGGGCGTCGCGGCCGCCTCGCCGTCGATCGTGCCGACGACGTTGCCGCCGTTGACGGACGCCATGTCGACGATGACGGAGCCGCGCTTCATGCCCTTGACCATCGCTTCCGGAACCAGCACCGGCGCCTTGCAGCCGGGGATCAGCGCCGTCGTCACGAGGATATCAGCTTTGGCCACCTCGTCCCGGAGCATCTCCTGCTCCGCGGCCTTGTACTCGTCGGACATCTCCTTGGCGTAGCCGCCCGCGCCCGCGCCGTCCTCCTCGTAGGGCACTTTGAGGAATTTGCCGCCCATGGACTCGACCTGCTCCTGGACGACGGGCCGCACGTCGTAGCCGTAGACGACGGCGCCCATGTTCTTGGCCGTCTGGATGGCCGCGAGGCCCGCGACGCCCGCGCCGAGCACGAGCACGCGGGCCGGGGCGAGCTTCCCCGCCGCGGTCATCGAGCCGGCGATCGTCCGGCCGTAGGCGTGGCTCGCCTCGACGACGGCGCGGAAGCCCGCGAGGTTCGCCTGGGAGCTCAGCGCGTCGAAGGCCTGGCCCCGCGATAGGAGGCGCGGGATGCAGTCCATGGCGAAGACCGTGGCTTTCTGCGCCTCGAGCTGCGCGACCAAGTCGCCGTTCTGCGCGGGCTGCACCATGGACAGGAGCGTGCGGTCGCCGAGCTTCGCCGCCTCGTCGAGCGTCGGCGGGTTCACCTTGGTGACGATGTCCGCGGCCCAGGCGTCGTCGACGACGGCCGCGCCGGCCGCGGCGTAGTCGGCGTCGGCGAAGCCCGCGGCCGCGCCCGCGCCGGCCTCGACGACGACGGAGAAGCCGGCCTTGAGGAGCGCCGCGAGCGACTCGGGCGTCTGCGCGACGCGGTTCTCCGCCGGGTCGATTTCCTTGACGACGCCGATGGTCAGATCCTCGTAGGGCGTGCCCTTGATCTTTTCAGGCGTTTGGATCGCGTCGATCGTCGCGGCCGCGAGGCGGCCGTGGACGTGCCCGCGCGGCGGCGCGACGAGCGCATTGCCGGTGCTGAGCGCGAGAGCGATGAGCGCTTTGAGCAGCATGCTGCCTGTGGGTTTGAGCATGTGACGAGGACAGATGCTGTGGACGCTCTGCGCCGGACTCGGAATTCCAAATTTGTGTTGCACACAGCTTGCACCGATGGTGAACCAAGGCGAAGCATGGCCATGCAGCCCTGGACATGGCAGCCCACCACCCATGATACATATAAACCTGCCGGCAGTTTATATGTATGACACATAAATCTGCAGCCCACCACCCATGCTAGCAGCCCGCCGCATCTACGAGCGCCTCACGCGCGAGGTCGCCGTGGACCTCGCGCTCATGGCGGCGCTCTGCGTCGAGTACGCGCTCGCTCCAGCGCAGCGCAAACAGATCCGCGGCATCCTGGCAGCTGCCGCGGCCAACCTTGTCGCGCTCCTAAAACTACCGACACCCCCGCTCATCGGACCCTATGGCCTCGCGGGCTGGAACTGGCGGCATCGGGACTTCTGGGCGCCGCCGCGCGAGCGCCCCGCGGCCTGGCTGTCGGACGTCGCCGGCCCCGCGCCGCTGCGGAACGCGACGCTCCGCGTCGATGGCGGCCGCGCCTACCTGCTGGCCGGCGGCCACTTCGCGGCGCCGACGCGCGTGCTGCCGCCGACGGCGTTCACGCTGCCGCTCGACGCGAGGCCGCGGTCCCTCGCGGCGCTCCGAGACGTGCCGGACTCCGTCGTGCAGCGCATCGCGCGCGTGGACCTCGAGCCCTTCGGCTACGCGCCCGTGTCCGCCACCCAGCTCGCCTTCGCGCCGTCCCCCAAGCGCATCGAAACCCTGGCGGTGAAGTACGGCGTCGGCGCCGAGGACCTCCGCGTCTTCGACGGCCCGCGGGGCGAGACGCTCGTCCTCCACGTCGACTACGACGCCTCGCGGCGCCGCGTGCGGCACTACCTCAGCGTTGTGGAAGACGACGAACTGGCAAACACCGTCGTGCTGGAACCGCCCGAAACCGTCGCCCAGCCCTGCGAGAAGAATTGGTGCGCGTTCGTCCACGGGTCCGACGTCTACTTCTCGCACGCGCTCGAGCCCCACGCCGTCCTGCGCCTCGGGGACGGGGGCGCCTGCGAGCTCGCCCACGTCTCGGGGGCGCGAACCCCCCGCGCGCTCCGCGGCTCGTCGAACTTCCTCCGGTCGACGGCGGGTTACCTGGGCCTCGCGCACGAGCGGCGCGGGTCGTACCGGCACCGCTGGGTGCGCCTCGACGGCGAGCCGCCCTTCTCCGTGCTCGCGGTGTCGCCGCCCTTCCTCTTCTTCCCCGGCGGCGACGGCGCCGAGTTCGCGACGACGATCCAGGCCGCGCCCGGGAAGAAGCGGCCCGCGCTCCTCGTCTCCGTCGGCGTGCGGGACTCCCACACGCGCTTCCTCAGGTGCGCCGCGGCCGCGGTCTGCGCGGCCGTCGGCGCCGAATGTCGGGACTTCGCCTGGCTCGATAAGAGACCACCTTAGCCGCTTTTTCGCATAACAGACCACCGTAGCCGCTCCTTCGCCGGACTCGATAACAACAGTCGATCACAACAGTTAGCCGCCCCGCCGCTTCTTCCGCGGCGCGCAGGTCTCGACGACCGCGGGCATCGCGACGCGCGCGAGGTGCGGGTAGTCGAGCCGCAGCTTCGCGTAGGCGTCCTCGTGGCGCGGCGCCCCGGCGCCGTCGAGGCGCACGAGCGTCGACCGGAACTCGCGGAGCGTCACGGCCTTGAGCTTCTCCGCGCGGAAGTGGCGCCACATCTCCCGCTCCGGGTACAACGCGCGCTGCGGGTTCCGCGCGATCTCGCGCGTCAGCGTGTCCGCGTAGGCGCGGGCGTACCGCGCCATGGCGTCCGGCCCGGCGACGGCGAACTGGTCGAAGACGAGCTGGTCCTCGGCGAAGGGCACGAGCACGACGTCCTCGTCCAGGACCGCGAGCGCCGCCGTCAGGTTCACCGACGAGCAAAAGTACGCGTCGGGCCGCAGCCGCAGCACCACGTCGTACGCGGCGCCGGCGCGCAGCGCCTCGGCGAGGGCGATGGACCGGAACATGGACGCGACGTTGATGGCCTTGCCCCGGGCCGTGCCGTTGCCCGCGGGCAGTTTCGCGAGATTCGGCAGCTCCCGCAGGACCGCGCGCCGCGCGTCGGCCGCGAGCTCGGCCTCGACGCGCTTCACGTTCGGGTGCGCGCCGAACTTCAAGGCCTGAAAGGCCGCCGCGTCGCCGCCGTCGCCCTCGAGCACCGCGTGCACGAAGTAGTCGAAGCGGAAGTCCGGGTTCTCGGCGACGACGCGGTCGAAGAAGGAGCCGTTGCAGTGGAGGAACGTGCGCAGGCCGCCGCTCAGCACGACGGCGGCGGCGCGGCGCGGCGCCGCGCGCGGCGCCGGCCGGCGCCGGCGCCGGCCCTTGCGCTTCTCCTGCGCCGCGCTCAGCCAGACGGCGCCCGCGGCGCCGAGGAGGACGACGAGGGCCAGCGACTTGAGCCGGTGGCGCATCGGGCGCTGCTTGCGGAGCTCGGCCCCGTCCAGCAAGCCGGCATCCGCCCGCGGCGAGCCCCTGCGACGCTGCGTCGTGCCAGCAGCCGTAGGCGGGGCGGCCGTGACTGGGCTGAGGCTGCAACCAAAGGGCGCGATAAACCTCATTTTGAGGATGCTGCCCTTGGGGTTTCATCAGCGCTGCGCCCGGCTCTTCAGTTCCGATGGTCCGCGCCCTGGCGGTCCTGGGCCTGCTCGGCGCCGCCGGCGCCGCCGCGGCCCCGGCCTTCCCCGCGCGCCACGCGAGACAGCTCGACACGCAGTGCTTCTCGAAGGTCTTCGAGTTCGGCGAGGAGTGCTGGGACGTGACCTGCACCTTCTTCACGGAGGAGGCCGGCGGCGACACAACCTGCCGCGAGGACGGCGACACGCTCTGCTGCGCCGACGACAAGGACGACTGCTGCGTGCCCGACGCGACGGTCATCGGCGTCTTCTGCGCCGGCGGCGTCGTCTTCCTCCTCATCCTGGTCCTCGCGTGCTGCGCGTGCTGCGGCGCCTGCCCGCTCTACGGCCACCTCTGCTGCGCGCCGGACCGGGGCTGCTGCGTGCCCGGCGCGCCCGACGTCGAACGGGGCCTCAAGGTCCACGAGTCGGACCTGGGCATGCTCGTGATGGACGGCGCGATGTCAGGCGCGTCCGCGGTCAACGAGAAGGCCGTCCTCACGCCGCCGGCGTCGCCGGCGCCCGAGGTCCGCGGCGTCGACGCGCCCGGCGACCCGGAGCCCATCCCGGACCCGCCGGCGCCGCCCGGCGACGACGCGCCGCCGCCGCCGCCGGCCGACGTGTCGCCCGTCGCGGGCATGCTCTGCTGCAAGCAGAACGGCGACGGCCAACTCAACCTGTCCTGCTGAGAGTTCTGCTGAGCTTCTCCTTCTCTTCGTCCCGGCGCGCGCCCGGCCTGTCCATTACTGCCCTCTTAGAATCGGGGGCTCCTCCGCGGTCGCCTACGCGTCGGCGCTCGCGGCGATCGACTTGACCTCGAGGTGGAAGTTGCCCTCGGCGCCCTCGGCCCAGAGCTCCAGGGACGTGAGCGTCTTGAGGTAGGCCGCGGTCGGGCAGTACTTGTCGCCGTCCGCGCAGCAGTGGTGCTGCGCGCCCGTCGGATCCTTGGTGTCGCAGCGGCCCGTGAAGGGGCTCCAGTCCCAGGAGAAGGACGAGAAGGGCACGTAGATCTCCTCGAAGCCGTCGTCGCCGGCGAAGCCGGTCACGTTGAACGGCGCCTTGAACGTGCCCTGCGGCGTGTAGCGCGACGCCGACGGCACGTCCTTGGCGCCGAACGCGACCTTGAAGCCCGCGAACCACGGAGTTGTCGACCGCGCGACGAGCACGAGGCCGCCGGCCAGCGCCGCCGACGCGTCGGGCCACGAGTCGCCGAAGAGCTTCTGCTTCGTCTGAGCGCTGCAGAAGCCCGGCGCGCTCAGCGACGGCACGATCGCGCACGTGCCGTTGAAGACGCCGACGCCGCCCGCGATGCCGAAGGTCGCGACGGACTGGCCGCCCATGACGGGGTCGTTGAGCTCCTGCCACTCGTGCGCCGCCCGGCCGAAGTTCTCCAGCGTGATCTTTCCACCATCGCGCTCGGCGGCGGGGCTCGCGGCGGCGCCGACGGCCAGCAGGAGCAGCGCGGCGTTCCGCGCCATTGTTGGTTGCCGGTAATTACCGGGTAATTGCCGCAGAAGAAGGGTAATTACCCACCGGGTGAGTGAGTGATTTAGTGTCGAGAGGTACGCTGCGCGCACGACGACGAAGCCAGCCTGGACACGTCGATGCGGCCGAAGCAGCTCGTGATCGGCACGGCGTGCTGGCTAAAGCTGAAGACAAGCTGAAGTGGTAGTGAAGCAGCCAGCCCGGACGATGGCCACGATGGTGGAGGAGCCCCCGCGCGCCATGGAGCCGCCGACGCTGGAAGAACGGCTCCACGCCCTCGACGCCCTCCACCGCCACGAGCTGCGCGAGCTGGAGCCGACGGATAGCGAGCCCTACAAGTCCCACGCGCGAAAGCTCGTCGCCGCGTTGAAAGTGGAGATCGCGACGACGATCCCCGGCCCCGACGCCACGGTGCTCCTCGGCGCCTGCGCGAAGACCGTGCTCCTCGTCGCGGCGAACGCGCGGCGGTCCCTGGACCTCCGGCGCATCAAGCGCGCGAACCGCGCCTTCGCCGGCAAGGTCGGCCGGTGGCGCGCGTCGGCGCCGATCCTCGCGTTCCTCGACTTCGAGGTCCGGGACGCCGTCGTGGCGCTGCCGACGCCCGCGGCGCACGACGTCCTCGAGGCCAAGACGGCGGCGCTCCGCGACGCCTTCGCCTTCTTCAACGCGAACGCGCCCGCGCCGCCGCCCGCGCCGGCCCCGGCGCCCTTCACGTCGGCGCAAGCCGACTCGCTGCGGCGCGCCCTCCGGGACCACGCGTCGGCGACGGCCGACGAGCGCGCGAGGGAGGCGGAAGGAGCGGCGGCCGCGCGCGCCGCGCGCGACCTCCGCGCGGAGCAGGACGCGGACTACGAGGCGTCGCTCGCCGCGGACCGGGCCAAGGCCCTGTCCCTCCAGGAGGAGGAGGAGGAGGAGGAGGAGGAGGAGGAGGAGGACGCGGCCATCGCGGAGATGCATCGCGAGACGCCCGCGGAGCGCCGGCGGCGCCTCGCGGACGCGTTCCAGCGGCGCTTCGCGGCCGACGACGGCTAAGAGTTACCGCGCTCGCCTAATTTACAGGTAGAGGGAGCTCTGGGCGGCCTTGGTCCGCTTCTTGACCTCGCCGTACTGCGCGTTCCACTCGAGGACCTTGGCCATCTCCGGGCCCGAGTCCGCGACGGACGACGAGAGCTTCGCGATGGCCGCCTCGAAGTCGGCCGCGCGGGCCTCGCGGAGCTTCGGCGGGTCCAGCGCCGCGGCGCACTTGGCCTTGAGGTCGTCCGTCAAAGCGGTCGCTTCCAATTCGTCCGCGTGCTCGTGCGAGATGCGGACCTGGGCAGCACAAGGGTGATTCAACGTCGCTTAAACGCGAGTGTTCCGCGCGCGCGCGTCACGAGAAAAACATCCACGCGTCGAGACCGTTCCGAGAGATGATCGCTCGTCCAAAAGTCAGCCGAAACGAGTGAAAAATGGCCGAGATCGGAGCCTTTGAAGTTGGGAATCTCGCTCTCTTGTGCTGCCCTGATGCGGACGATGGCCTCGCGGCACACCTCCTTGCAGTCGCTGCCGCTGTAGCCCTCGAGCTTCGCGGCGACGCCGTCGAGGTCCACGGACGCATCCAGGCGGTTCCGCGCCAGCGTCACGTCGAGGATCGCGCGGCGCGACGCCTTGTCGGGGAGGTCGACCAAGACGCGCCGCGGCAGCCGCCGGAGCACGGCCTCGTCGAGGTCGTAGGGCCGGTTCGTCGAGCCGATCACCACGACGCGGTCCCGCGTCGTCTTGAGGCCGTCCCACTCCTGCATGAGCGTCGTCTTGACGGACGTCAACGTGCCGTGGCTCGTGTCGTCGCCGCCTTCCCGCGACGACAGCACCGCGTCGATCTCGTCGAAGAAGACGACGCAGGGCGCGAGCTTCCGCGCCAGGGAAAACACGGCCTTGGCGTTCTTCTCCGACTCGCCGAGCCACTTGTTCTCGATGGCCGACGCGTCCACCGCGAGGAACGACGCGCCGCCCTCCGTCGCGACGGCCTTGGCGAGCATCGTCTTGCCCGTGCCCGGCGGGCCGAAGAGCAGCACGCCCTTGCAGGCCTCGCGCGCGACGCCCTCCTCGTAGAGCGCCGGGTACTTCAAGGGGTAGGTGATGGCCTCGCGGAGCGCGGTCTTGGCCGCGTCCAATCCTCCGATCATGTCGTACGTCACCGCGACCTGCGTGGATTCCAAATCTTCAACCCGACTTCAATGCGCGCGTCATCGAACGGTTTGGACGAGACTCTTCGGCTGTGCTTCGAGAACTCGACGAGAGCGATCGATTCGTCCAAAAATCAGCCGAATCGACGTGGAAATGGCCGAGATAGAGAGTTCTGACGTTTGGTGGGGACCCCCCAAACCAGCGCTTGCAATCCACACCGACCGCGACGTCCGACGGCGCGACGACGTTGCCCAGCAGCGCCTTCTCGTGCTTGTCGAGCTCGCCCTCGGCGAGGCCGCCCGGCGCCTGGCCCCGGTCCCGCGCGGCCGCCAGCGCGTCGCCCAACGCGACGGCGACGGCCGCGGCGTCGATGGCCAGAGGCCCCGCGGTCCCGGCCCGCGGCGGCGCCGCGTCGCCGCGGCTCAGCTCGATCTTCAGCGCCGACAGCGCGACGCGGCGGCAGTCGTCGTCGCTCAGCGGCGCGGCGCAGAGCGCGTGGCCGATGGCGTCCAAATCCGTCGCCAGGCAGTTGGCCTCCAAGACGGCCGTGAGGCTCTCGCGGTTCCGCGACAGCGTGCCGCGGCGCTGCTCGTCGCGCGCCCACGTCTCCCAGTCGTGGCGCGCGAGGGCGTCCGCGGGCAGTGGGACGCGCACGTCGTCGACGGCCGCCGCGCACGCGGACACGGGGTCGCGCGGCGGCGGGTTCCGCTGCTTCGACGGCTCCTCGGCCTTCTTCTTCTTCGAGTGCAGGCCCATCCAGCGCATGAGCGACGCGGGCACGCGGAGCGGCGCGCCGCCGCCGCCCGGCGCGTCCTTGGCGCGGTCCAAAGTCGCCCGGAGCTTCGAGGGCGGCTCCTCCGGCGCCGCGTCGTCCGCGGGCGGCGCCTTGCCCACCGAGAGCGCGACGTGGACCATGACCGACGGGTCCCGCAGCATGGGGCCGCACTGGTCCGCGACGGCGCCCACGAGGCCCTCGTCGCCCAAAGCTTCCGCCAGCGCGGAGAGGTAGGCCTCGGACCGCGGGTCCCGTTCCTCGTCGGCCGCCTTCCGCGCCTCGGCCGCGACGCGCCGCGCGAGGTCCCGGAGCATGCTTTCGAAGGACCCGGACCGGTCGCTGTCGTCGGCGTCGCCGGCCTCGATGCGGGGGAGGGGCGGCGGCGGCGGGCCCGCGGGCCGCGGCGGCGCCTCCGTCGACGCCGCGGGCGCGCCGTCGCCGTCCGCGAAGACGAGGAACGCGCGCGAGTCGTCGTCGTCGAGCTCGTCGAGCACGGCGGCGCAGGCGCCCTTGTGGCGGAGCACGCTCCGCGAGCCGTCGGCGAAGAAGACCACGGCCCTCTGGCCGTCGGCCGCGACGGCCGCGAAGAGCCCCCGCAGGAGCTTCTCCCTCGAGAGGCCCTTGCGCTTCTCGCCGCTGCCCGTGCCGCAGCCGAGGTCCAGGGCGAGGCGCCGCACGCGCCGCAGCGTGCCCTCCGTGATCTTCACGGTCGTCGCGCCGACGGCCGCGCCGAGCGCGGAGACCAAGGCCTCGTGGACGGCCGCGGGCGCTCCGGCCATCTCGAGCGCGACGCCGCGGCTCGCGCGGGGCAGCAGGGCGACGTGGGCCGCGTAGGCGCCGCGGTCGAAGGCGAGCTTCGCCTGGCCGACGAGGGCCGCCCGCGTCGACGGGGCCAGGAGCCGGTGCGCGTTCCGCGTCGCGTTCTCGGCCCCTTCCCTGAACTCGGATAAAAACCGCTCCCGCGACTCGTGGCAGCCCGCGGCGATGCCCGAGCGCAGCAGCTCGCTCCGCCAGATGGCGAGGATGTGCTCGTTGTCGCCCGCGGGGTCCCCCTCGCTCGACGGGCCCGGGTCGGCGCCCGCCTCGACGACGTCCACGAGCTCCTCGAGGACGTCGAGGTCCGAGCCGCCGCGGACGCCCAGGCGCGATGCTTTCGGGTGCAGCGCGGTCGTCAGGAAGGGGAGGAGGAAGAAATACGCACACACCATCGATGAGACGCGCCGAAGGCCGCGCGTGCGCTCCATGACGCTGGAGCTAGTTTCCGCCACCGGTACCGGCGGCGGTCGACTGCTGTCCGAGGTTGATCAATCGGCGTACCAGCCGACGCGCGTAGACGACTTACCGGGGGGGGGGGGTCTGGTCCCCAAGGGCCTCGCAAGTCGTCCATATGCGCCCCGCCGGGAGCCCGCAAAGTCCGCGCGCCCGGCGGCCACAAGCCTGCCAGGCCTCCTGCCGCACCGGTCGGCCCGCGACTCCGACCTGCGACACGCACGCCTGCAGCGCGGCGCAACATCCGAGTCAACTAGTACTTTAGCACGCACACGTTACGCGCCCTCGCCCTTCAGCTTCTCCGCGAGGAACGCGAAGACGGCCGTCGTCGCGGCGGCCGTCGTCGCCGGGTGCGCCGTGTGGCCCGCGGAGACCTGGTCGATGCCGCAGCCGCCCGCGACGGGCGTTCCCAGGGGCGCCTCGGACGCGACGAAGTTCCGCGCGACGGCGCGAAGCGCGGCCGCGGCCGCCGCGTCGGCCTCGAAGGCGCGCGGCGCGTGGGCGAGCACGGGCTTCATCTTCGCCGCCAGCTTGGGCACGGACTCGCCGGGCGGCAGCTCCCGGAGGATGCTCCCGCAGAGCGCGCAGCCGTCCGTGAACGCCACGGCTTTGGTCCGCGCGCGCGCGCGCGGCACGGCCTTGAAGAGGTAGGCCACGGCCGCCGCGCCGTAGGAGTGCGCCACGATGACGACGTCCCGCGTGGACGCGGCGGGAATCGCTAGATCCCAGAGCGTGCAGAGGTGGGTGTGCGCGCACTCGCTTCCCGGAATCTCCCTCCCGCGGTCCTCGGACACGTTCGGGTCCGCGACGACGACGTTGCCGCCGAGGTCCCGGGCGGCGCGCGCCACGTAGTCGAACATGGCGCCCTCGCCCAGCGTCGCGTTGACGCAGAGGCTGCGGCCCCAGACGCCCGCGGAGCCTCCGGGGTTCGACCCGCAGACGAGGAAGACCAAGGGCGCGGCCGGGCCCGCGTCGCCGGGCGACGCCCAGATCGTCGCCTCGCCCATGGCCACGGGCGCGAGCCGGCAGTAGACCTCGAGGCGCGACTTGCAGTAGGCGGCGCACGCGACGGCGACGCGGTCGTAGTCCGCCTGCCCCTTCCACTCGAAGCCCTTGGTTTTGTCCGCGAGCTGGTTCAGCGTGTAGTAGCGCTCGTCGCCGGCGCGGGCGTCATCGCGGGCCCCGTAGGCGTAGCCGAGGGCGGCGAGCGCGCGCGCGGCGGGGTCTGCCTGCTCCTGGGCGGCCATCGGCGAGGAGCACG